TTTTTCGCACATCACAGTGCTAGATTTCCAGAACGCCCAGAGAACCGAGCCGATATCCGCTTTTACGAGAGAATCCTAGTGGAACTTCATTTCAGTGGCAAAAAGACAGCAGTTATGGTGCATACAGATAAAATAAATACGAAAAAATGTTGCACAAATCCAAGTGGTTGTTGCTTATAAACATGCATATCTGAAAACACATCAATATTGCTTTTTTTTTTGTCCCTTTTTTAACTTTTTGTTGTCAAAGATTCGATAAATTATCGATAGAGGCTGATTTTGCTAGCTTCATCTCCCGGCATTTGGAGGACATCTGAGAGTTTTACGAAATTTTGCTATATAACTAAACTGTATAATTTTGCTACATAACGAAAGGCCAAATTCCGATCGGTCGCCAGCTTTCATTATCATTTTGAAAACATCGCCAACAAAAACACAACTCTGACGAAATCCTTCACCTCATAAGTAAAAAAACCTGAACAGCAGTTTGTACCTTACATTATTGCTTCAACGAATCACCTAAGGACGCAGAAAGAGAGCGTTACAAATTGAATCTAATCCAAAAACAAGTATATCAAAAAACTAATCTCATACCAGGAACATTAACAGTGCCTAGACTGTCTATGTAAGGATCCTATAATAGTAATATTACTGGGATACTAAACCCCGTCAAGCGACAGCTGATGTCATTTTCTTCAATTTTGGGTTACACTCACTGCCCAGCCCATGAATTTGTTTCGTCCCTTCAGAAGCTATCCAAATGTTTACATCATTGCGGTTACAGACATAATGCGGGAAGTCCACCGGTTAACAGCAAAACGAGCAAGGCGCTCTGTTCATCGGTTCTCGTATGGTCGGAATACAACCCGCACATTTCTCATTTGCCAGAGAGTCTGACTGTTTACATGGTCAAGACGAAACATTAGAAGGATCGATCCTTAGTTCTACTGCTTTCGATTTCAAGGTCACATTTTGTTCTTTTGCTTTCGTCAGCGACCACACTTTGCATCCGTACGAAAATACCCTCAGTTCGGTGGCAGTAAGGAAGGTGGATACGGTGCAAAATGTGTTGAAAACACCGGCCAGGTTGCGATACATGCACAAGCAGCAGTTCTTAGAAGTGCGATTCCCAGCTGAGCGCACTGGGAAGTGTTTTTACTTTCAGGTCAAGATAGCTGTAGTAGCTTCCTTCAAATCAACGTCATCTGTATGCAAAATGGCCACAGGCATATCGACATCCTGCATCAGCTTTGCTTTCGAAGAGTTAATTTTCAGATCCACTTAATGGCTAACTAAATCTCCAGCTCCGGTCCAGGATAAGCTAATACCTTTTTTAAAATTCAAAAACACTGCTTATTTGAACCAGAATGATTAGAATATTCAATTTTTTTCGAAAATGATATGAGCATTCCAGTACTGACTGTTTCAGTGATCTTAAGGGTTGGAAAAAAATTACATGAAATTCCAATGACTGCAACAATGTCGAGTAAAAAGTTCATCTGTTCGAAGAATTTTTTCAGAGAAAACAAAATTTTACGGGAATTTGTTAATATTTTGAATAAATTTTGCAGAGTCTCAAATTGTTTTTTTGACAAAAATCATTTCATTTGAGAAGGTAAAACCGACAGTCCGCGTGAAAACCAACATATTTGCAAGAAACAGCAAAAAAATATCATTCTATGAGGAAAAAAACGTGAAATGCGAAAATAGTAGTCTATGGTGATCGCAGAGAACATAAGCTCGGGCTACACAAATTCTGGAAATTGGACATGGCTTCGATAAATCCAAATACCACATTTATATCACCCACCAGTATTTTACGCTTATCAAGATCACATTTCGCGATCACTGTGAACTGAGTGCTGAGATTCATTGACGAGAGGAGATGCATGCATGTCATTCGTTATGAAATACTCTTCGCCATCATCATCATCGTCTTCATCGTTGTCGCTGTCGCCCGCATAATCCGATGATTCTTCCTGAAACACAGCAACGTTTCATGGGACATAGTAGTGATGCGTTCCAACAGTAACACAGAGTTTTGTCACTCTTGCAAGCACTATGTACCGTTGAGGAATGACTAATAACTTTTATGACTACTACTAACCACCGGGAAATCAGTCAATTTAGTTATTTATCACGGATATCAGA